ATCGCACAGGTGGCGAGGTCTTTGCACATCCTTGCCAGTTTAGCGAGAATGTGAAGGAAGACGTATTTAGACAGATTTTGAGGTAGTGTGACAAGGAAGAAGAAATTTTAGAAGTGGTTGAGTTTGTTGGTGTATGTACACTCAACAAGAATTATCCATTCAAAGATGAGTCAAGGAGAAATGTTTTGCTTTAATAGTTTGCCTACCTAATTAACATAAACCTATATTCAATGACAGCTTATGATAATAAAGCTGAGAAGCCAGAAATGTCTTAAAACTCAAAGACTTTTTTGGAGGTAAGAAGTCTGTGTGGAGTTGGCCTTAATTAATTTAACAGATACTTGCACGTGTTCCAGAAAGTCTCCTTGGAGGATAGGGTGTACCATTGACCAATACAGATAAGCCCTGCACTCCGAGTTTAAATCAGGAGAAACTTTCATGACAAGAGCAGGCAGATGTGAGAGAGTTAGAGGAGGTGCTAATTAGTATAAGGTATGCAGGGGAGACCTCTCTGGTGATAACATGCCAACAGAGATGTAGAGAAAGGACTACAAAAGTTGAGAAAATAACTGAGAAGAGCAAGTTACAAGCCAAGGGAGCAAGAAGCATCAACGTTTGGAGTCTGGAGAGCAGTTGGCACATTTGAGAGTCAGCAAAGGGAACCATGTGTGAAAAGGAGAGTCTAGCCTGCTGGGGTCAAGAAAGTAAGACAAGAGAGAATCGTCAAGGGCTATAGGTGAGCAGAGGGGAGTGCCACTGTGCCTTGTAAACAAGGATGCTTGTCATGCTGAATAGATAGAGAGTGACGTTTTGAACAGAGGAGGGACATCATCTCCTCCAGTTTGAAAAGGATGGCTCTCTTGCTGTGGATACAGGGCTTTTCCAGTATGATAGTGCTTACACTACGCTGCTGAGGGACAACGAAAGCACAGACTTCAGTGTTTATGGTGAAGTCCATCTGTTTTGAGGTGGATCTGACAAGATTTGATGGTCAAAGTCAGTTGTGGATAGCAAAATAGATAAATGAAATAAAAAAGAAATAGAGGTGTTACCTCAAACCTCTACTTCAGACTGAGCCACTTTGGAAGATGGAGCTGTCATTAGCTGAAACGAAGTCGTCTGCAGAGGGAATCTGTGTGATGAGTGGCTAAGAGTCGAATGAGGGTTGGTAGCCGCAGTTTAGAACATGTGAACTTCAAATACCTCCAGGTGGAATTCAGGAAGAACACTTCGGGTTTAGCAATGCATTTGAGAATTGCTCGGTTACAGATGTGATGAACCCATGGGACTAGAAAAGATAACCCAGTAAGTAAGTGGACACGGAACACAGATTTTTCTGCAGGAGACTGGACCAATTCACCTTGCAAAGAGGTTGGAGGTAAAGAGTAACCAGGATCCAGCCATCTTGTGATTGCACCAGAGAGGTCTCAGGGATGTCTCCATCAGAGGGCAGAATTTCACTCCCACAGGATGGCGTATGGGTTCTAGATTATTTTAGTTTCGGATTTGCTTTTCATGCTAACAAAAAGTACTTTCTTGCTGAGTCTTGTTGTATGTCTTAGATACCATTATGGTGTCAGCAATGTTCTTCTGTTGAATTAATTGCTGTCTTAAAAACAAGTGTGGTGTTACACATTGGAAAATACTTATTTTGACTTAGAAAATCATCCACCATAAAAGAAGGAGTCAATGACCTTTCAGAGCCTCAGATTCTGTCCCTCTGGGACTCCAAGTTTGTTGGCAGCATACTATCTAGTTTGACAAATCATTTAATATCATTAGGGTACAACATTGTTATGATTATGAATACTTTAACACATGTCAATTTTAGTCCCTTTCTCTTTTTTTAGCAATATCACTGATATTGAATTATTTCTTTCACAAGCATTTTATAAGAGTTACCCAAGTTAGAGGTAGCCTGAACTCAAATTCCAAGCCACTTTCATCTCATATGAGCACTGGAGGAGGATGACGGCCATGTTCACCAACCCTGCACGGGACACGCTCCCAGGGCACTTCCAGCATTTGCTGTTCACGGTGGTAAAGCTGCACAGGGAGGCAATGCCTTCCATCTCACACACAGAAGCTGTCTACCAGTTGTCAGTCATTTGTGGGCCATCACCCATTTCCAGCTTTCCTGACATTCTTGGTGCATTTCTGAGAAGGACTAATTTTCTACAGAAATGCTCACACAGTGACCCTCAATACCATTCCTCCTTGACTCTCGTTTAAATCTTAGAAAATGGAAAATAACTCCAAATTATATCTTGTTTGAGCTGAAATTGTATCTTATTAAAACAATTATATAATTTTTTGGACAGGAGATATTTTTAAATTAATATATTTTCAAGGGTGTTAATGTCCTACTTAACTTAATGTTTAAAAACCATCTTCCTGAAGCTAAGTCAAATTTATAATAGCGCTGACAGAAAGGGCAAACAGATCCTCACGCTATCCAAACACTGCTTGCTCCATGGTTACATGGCTGGATTCACTGCTA